TCCTCCCCTATCCCCTGGTAACTTCTATTCTTTCTGTATCTATGGATTTGCCTATTCTAGGTACTTCATATAAATGAAATCATACAATATTTGTCATTTTGTGTCTGGCTTATTTTAACTTACATACTGTTTTTAAGGTTCATTCATGTTGTAGCACATAACAGAATTTCTTTCGTTTTCTTTTTCTTTTTTTTCTCTTGCTCTGTTGCCCAGGCTGGAGTGCAGTGGCATGATCATGACTCACTGCAACCTCTTCCTCCTGGGCTCAGGTGATCCTCCCACCTCAGCCTTCCAAGTAGCTGGGACCACAGGGACAACCACATCCAGCTAATTTTTGCATTTTTTTTTTTTAACAGATGAGGGTTCACCATGTTGCCCAGGAAGGTCTTGAACTTCTGGGTTGGCCTTGGCCTCCCAAGGTGCTGGGATTACAGGTATGAGCCATCGCACCTGGCCCCAGAATTTCATTTCTTGTTTAAAGCTGAATAATATATTATGTTAATAATATTCCATTGTATATACCACATTTTGCGTATCCATTAATCTGTCAGTGAATATCTGGGTTGTTTACACCTTTTGGCTGTTGTGAATAGTGGTGCTATGAACACTGGTGTGCAAGTATCTGTTTGAATATATTCTTTCAAATCTTTTTGAAGGGGAATTGCTGGATCATACAGTAATTTTAACTTTTGGAGAGGCCTGTCACGTGGTTTTGACATACCTCCACCTTTGTTCTCACTTTTCTTTTTTGATGCCTCTTCTCAAGGTAGGCGGGTTCCTAGCACGGTCCCTATGTGGACCCATGTCCATCCCACCCTCCCTCTCTCTTGGTCAGTGTGATTGTGGTAGAGTTTACTGGGGAGCTGGCCCTTTCTTCTCCTAGACCTGAACCTGGGAGGTGGGGACTAGTGGAGCCATCTCACCTCCTCAAGAGCCTGAGAATGAAAATACACAGAGGAGAGCATGCTGTGTCTGTGCATGCTGTGGACCCATGCTGTATCTCCCTGCAAGCTGAACACAAAATGCTTCTCCTCTTCCCCACCACCATGCCCGTCTCTAAGTATCAACTCAAGCTTAGAGAAAGTCATGCCCTTCTCTAAGTATCAAGTCAAGCTCTTCCCCCTACTGATAATAACTCCCAGCACCTGCAATCTGGAAGTGGAAAAGTAATTACAAGGATGTGCCTCAAGTCTTTGTTTTTTTTCTCTTAACAAAGCAAATGACATCACATTCTAAAAACGCTTTTTCCTTATCACTCTCAGCTTCTTCCATATGGACGGCACCAGCTCCCTAAGAATCAATCTTTCTCTCTTTTCTTGTTAAATTCCAACCTCTCCAGCCCCAACACTCAGCCTTTCTGTCTCTCTGCCTTTGCATCAAGTAAACCCTTCTTTATATGATCAGCTTACCCTCTTAGGTTTTCAAAGTTTTTGCATTGTTTCCCCACTATATAAACTGTGCACAATTGAGGACATCTGGCTGCTGGCACAAAGGAAAGTCACTCTAAAAGTTAGGGACAGGGGCTAAATTATGAATGCTTATATATTAATAATTTCCCCACTTCTATTCACCTTGGAAAAGATCGTAACTTCTTTACATTGTAAGAATATTTTCACCAGATAAATCTAAGCTATGTGAGGGTGGATTTGGGGTCTCTTACCTCTTTGCTTAGAACATCTCATTGTCCATAGCACAAATTCCTTGTCCTGGCATTCCAAACTCCTCATGCCTTCATCTCGATCTGCCTTTCCAGTATTATTCCCCCTACCATCTCTCATGCCCTTTGTGCCCCAATGAATAGGAATGCCAACTATTTCCCCAACTGTCCCTGAGTTTTCCTGCCACCATTTGCTCCTCCTTCCATTTACCTTTTTACCTTCTTCTTGCACCTCCAGTTTCTGCCCATCTCTCAAGTTCAAAGGCAAATGCTGTTGTTTCCATAAAACTAGTTGTTGTAAAGATTAAATAAAACAATGTGTACAAAAAGTTAGCATAGTGACTAGTATTGAGTAATACTAGTAGATAAATAGTACATAATACTAGTAGATAAACAGTACATAATAAATGTTTTGCCCTGTATTATTATTCTTGTAAACATGTTATTTATAATGTATAAGCTTTTTAGCCTTATTTGTTTTTACATGTCCTCCATAGGCTAAATCAGTTTGGACTCTTTTGGCAACTGAAAACCCAACCCAACTCAAATTCACTTAAACAAAAGGTAGAATTCATTGAGTCACATAACTGAAAACTCCAGGTGTTAGGCTGGTTTCTCCCTGTTTCTATAAACTCAGATCTGCTCTCCTCTGTGTATTTTCATTCTCAGGCTCTTGAGGAGGTGAGATGGCTCCACTAGTCCCCACCTCTCAGGTTCAGGTCTAGGAGAAGAAAGGGCCGGCTCCCCGCTAAACTCCACCACAACCACACTGACCAAGAGAGAAGGAGGGTGGGATGGACATCCATACACAAATTGGAGGCTTATCAAAAGAAGGGTGAATGGATGCTGGGGAGCCAAGAAATGCCAAATGTTCATACTAGTGCCTTACATAAAGTGGATGCTCAGTAAATCTTTCGTGAATGGCATTTAATTAGTATCCTCTTTAGTGGTCAGTGTGCAAGATTAACTATTTATCAAATGATAGTTGAAAGGGGGAGGAAGGTAAAATTTGTTGAGCACCTACTATGTCATTTGCTTTAATCCAACAAATATCTGTGATATTATGCCCATTTTACAGATGAAGAAACTAAGGGTAAATAGGTTAAGTAATCTTTCTGAGATTGTGCAGAGCTACTGCCCAGATCTGCCTGACCCAGATTCCTGTGCTGTTTCCTAGGAGTTTATAGACCCTGCATTCTGGTTCTGGATGGCTATTTCTCTCTCTCTTCAGTGATCACTGGGGATGGCAATGGCAATGCTATTGTCTTTCCCTGTAGACCATTTCATGGTTTTTTTTTTGTTTGTTTGTTTTTGTTTTTTGGACAAGGTCTTGCTTTGTCAGCCAGGCTGGAGTGCAGTGATGTGACCTCAGCTCACTGCAGCCTTGATCTCCTGGGGTCAAGTGATCTTCAAGCCTCAGCCTTCCAAGTAACTGGGACCGTAGGTGCACAATACCACACCGGGCTAATTTTTTTGACTTTTGGCTTTTAGTAGAGATGAGGTCTCTCTGTTGCCCCGGCTGGTCTTGAACTCCTGAGCTCAAGCAATCCTCCCACCTCAGCCTCCCAAAGTGCTGGGATTACAGACGTAAGCCACCACGCCTGGACATTTCATGTTGTGTAAATCTGAGGGTTAAGAAACTCCTTGAAATTTCTATTATCTTAAGTGATCACATTTAACCCTTTTTGTCTTCCAGAGAAAGCGGAAAACCATTGAGCACTCTGTTTAAGAACACCTTCACGGATTTGATGGTAGTAATTAAGCAGTCACTTAGTCTTTTCTTCTTTTATGTTAAAGGCAGTCAATCCTTTTCACCTTTCCTAGGAGAGCCTATTTGCAGATTCTTTGACATAGGACACATTTTTGCTCAAGCTCCGGGCCTTACTTTTTTAAGCCAGAACATGACTTGGGGCAGTTCTCAGACCCCGGGTTTCTCTGCCCTCCAGAGATGTCTGAAAGGAAATGGACTCAGGTGTGTTGACTATCTGCTTACCCTCGACGGGACCTCTGGGCTTGCTGCCAAACTCTCTCTACTGCTATGACCTCTTGGCTCACCCCTCCGCATGCACACACACCACCACCAGCCACACATACACACACACACACGCTCAGACTCCCACCACAGCGACACACACCCCAGGCCCTTGCTGAAGCTGGGGTTTTGTTTCTTAGTGGCAGCCGCTAGACTCACATTCTCTAAACTCCTGACACAAGGGAGCCGGCCTGGGCTTCGGGGTCTCTGGACCACCGCAGTTTTAAGTCATTCTTGCTTTGAATCCCCAGAAATCTAATCGCTTTGTTTGTATGCTCCCACAGGAGACTAGGGAGGAATGTGTTTTGCTGTTTTGGATTTCAAGAAATGAAACAGAAACAAGAGCTGGTTTCCTGATAACTTTGTTCTTCTACACTAGGATCTGTAGAATGATACAGTTTCTGGTTTAATTGGTCTGTGGCCTGCAGACCCCTGTGTGAGACTCTTCCAGCTTTGAACATACCAAAGAAAATTTTAAAAGAAGAGGGGAGAAAAAAGTAGAAAAGTCTGCATATTGGGTAAAGGATGATTTTGTATGTGTGTGCTTTTCTGTAGTTGCTAGGATTTCTGCAATGAACATGAGTTCACTTTGAAATCAGGAAAAACACCAATAAATATTGGAGTTAATTCTAAGTAGTTAAAAGAATAACATGATAACCAATTATTTTTCAAGCAAATGCAAATTAAAATGAAAGAAGAATGGCAGTAATAATAAGACAAAGTAGAATTCATCATAAAGCAACACTTGGAATAAAAGAGCCATTTGTGGGCATTTTATGTTGATAGAAGGTACAATGCAGGATGAAGATATTATAATGATTAAAGTCACACAATAAAAGCTCAATATTAAATATAAAAAACAAAAATTTGACAGGAATAAAAGGGGAACTCAGCAGAAAAACAATTGTTATAAGAGACGTAAGCACCAGACTTTGACAATTAACAGAGGAAAAAAAAAGACACCTAAGTTTGATACACCACAATTATCAAAGTTGATTAATAGACAAATATTGAATTTTGTTCCCTAGCAACAGAGTATGCCTTTCTGATGTATTATTTGAAAACCAGAGCAAAACAAATACTATAAAGGCCACAAAGAGAACTTTTGTCCAAAATGCAACAAAACTAGACAAAAATTACAAAAGTAAACAAAATTTTAAAAACTCACCCTTCAACCACTTGGAAACTAATATATATATATATATATATATAGACTGCATTAAAAAGAAGGTGAAAACTATAATCACAAGCTATTTAGAAAATAATAAAAATCACAATGTTATATATAAGCACTCATAGAAACTGCCTAGATCAGTACAAGAGAGGTATGTTGAGGCTGCCACATGCTGTCATTATTAAGCCCGAGAGTAAACATATGACTAAAGCATATGGCTAAAAAATGAGAAATAGAAGAATAAAATCCAACCAGCAGAAATAAAAGGAAAAGAAAGATAATATGGCAATTTATGAATCAGAAAATAAAGTATAATTGATAAATCCAAGTGTTTTTAATTTTTGTAAGGCTAACAATATAGAAGTGCTTTTTATCTGTTGAATCCAGGAAAAGAGAAAAGATGAACCAACAATATTAGAAGTGAGAAAAAGAATATGAGCATATTACAGAGGATATTTAAATTGAATAAGATTATGTTCTATGCTAATAACTTGAAGATATTGATGAAATAGATGTTTTTCTGGGGAAAATTGCTAAAGTTGATTAAGTAATATATAAACAAAGTAAGTTTTACACACACATACACACACACACACCCACACACCAATAACCTTGAGAAGGAAATTATAAAATCATCAAAATATCTCCTTTCAAAAGCTTCCTGGGTCCAGGTGGCTTGCTAAAGGATTCTTCAAAATTTCAGAAAATGTATGATTTATATGTTATAGAAACCATTCCAGAAAATAAGTGGAATTTAAAATTTAACAAATTTTGTTTATCTATTCACTAGTTGGTTGACGGACATTTTAAAAACTAGATGAGTCAGCAGTTCCACTCCTGGGATCTACCAAGAGAAATGCAAACATGTGAAAACACGAAGTCATAGTAGAAGGATGAATAATGGACCCAAGCTGGAAACAATCCAAATGTCCATCACCTGTTGATAAGATAATAAAAATGCAATGCAGCCCAGGCACAATGACTCACCCCTGTAAGTCGTTGTGGGTGAGCCACCTTGGCACTTTGGGAGGCTGAGGTGGGGGGATCACCTGAGGTCAGGAGTTCGAGATCAGCCTGACCAACATGGTGAAACCCCGTCTCTACTGAAAATACAAAAATTAGCTGGGCGTAGTGGCACATGCCTATAATCCCAACTACTTGTGAGGCTGAGGCTGGAGAATCACTTGAACCCATGAGATGGAGGTTGCAGTGAGCAGAGATCACGTCACTGCACTCCAGCCTGGGCAACAAGAGGGAAACTCCATCTCAAAATAAAATAAAATAAAATAAAATAAAATAAAATAAAATAAATAAAAATGCAATACAACCATACTAAAGAATACTATTCAGCTCTAAAAAATGACTTAAATATAGATACAAGCTATTACAACATGCTAAAACATGAGTAAACCTCAAAAACATTAGGCTATGTGAAAAAGCCAGACACAAAATACTACATCCTATTCCGTTTCTATGAAATGTCCAGAAAAGACAAACTTACAGAGTCAGAAAGCAGATCAGTGGCTACGCAGGGACAGGATTTGGAGTAGAGACGGAGGGGGATAGTAGGGACCTTTCTAAAATGAGAATTTCTGCAAATCATTCTAAAATTAGTGATGGTTATACAGCTCTATAAATTTCCTAAAAATCTTAGAGTTGTATACTTAAGCTGGGTGATTTTTATGGTATGTAAATTGTACCTCAGTGAAACTGTTAAAAATAGCTAGTTATCAAAGACATACAAATTAACATCTGTAAGATATCATTTACTGATGTAAATATATATCCAGTTAGCAAGAGTTAAAAAAATTTTCTGTGCTATAAAGATTCAGTTTGAGCGGCCGGGTGCGGTGGCTCAGGCCTGTAATCCCAGCACTTTGGGAGGCCGAGGCAGGCGGATCACGAGGTCAGGAGATGGAGACCATCCTGGCTAACACGGTGAAACCCCATCTCTACTAAAAAAAATACGAAAAATTAGCAGGGCGTGGTGGCGGGCGCCTGTAGTCCCAGCTACCAGGAGGCTGAGGCAAGAGAATGGCATGAACCCGGGAGGCGGAGCTTGCAGTGAGCCGAGATCGCACAGCGCCACTACTCCAGCCTGGGCGACAGAGCGAGACTCCGTCTCAAAAAAAAAAAAAAAAAAAAAAAAAAAAAGATTCAGGGGATGGATACTGTCAAATAGTCAAATATAGTTATCGGGATATAAATTGGTAGAATGCTTTTTGAAAACAGATACTAAGAGTTATCACAATGTTAGCAGGCTTTGATTCATTCATTCTACTTGAAAAATCTATTCCTCCAAAAATAGAGTTGTGGGCAAAGATTGCTGTAAAGAGATGTGCACTACAGAATTATTTATGATAATTCTACAAAGTAGAACAACTTAAATATCCAACATTAGAGAGATGGGTACATAAATCATATCATGTCATACAATGGAATTTAAGTAATTGGTAAAAATCATATTTTCAAAGACGACTTAATGACATGGGAGAATGCTCAAGAAATAATGTGAAATGGAAAAGTAGGATCTGAACTGTCTATACATACTAATCCTAAATGGAAAAAGGTGTCTTTTATGATGGGAAGGGTCTAAACCAAATGTTAACATTTATTTTCTGAGTGGGGTAATTATGGATAATGTCATTTTCTTCTCAATACTTTTTGTTTTCTGTTTTCCTTTGTTCTTGGCAATGAGCATATATTGCTTTATCATTTGCAAATCAGAAATTTTATCAGAAAACAGTAAATGTTATTGAAAATAACAAAAATAGAATGGAAATGAATTACAACTGTCCATCTGTGCCAAATGCAGTTCTCAAGTAGGAAGCAGAAAGTCTATATAATGGTCCCGACTTGCTGAGCTTCCATTACACAAGGAAGTCAGTGATGAAGCACACTGTGCTCAGCCTTCTTCCCATTTCAGCAGAGACACGGGGACAACTAAGCCAACCTGGGGAGGGTGGTGTGTGTGTGTGTGTGTGTGTGTGTGTGTGTGTGTGTGTGTTTGTGCACGCAATGGTGGATCTTTAGGACTGAGATGCACTTTCCCACCTTTGAGTGATGGAGCCTCCTAACAACATAGTCACACAATGGGCCACATTTTGGCCTTATGTATTCAATGCTGTTGACCTGTTGTAAATTGCCAGCATATTTACGTTACATATAGTACCAGGATGTACATGAGTATATAAAAGCCCTGGGCTCTGAAGCATCAAAATTCTCCTTCTAGATTCCTTTTGATTTGAAAATTCAGTCTTTCCTGTAAATAAGTGTGTGAATTGAGTTGGGGAGGCAGGGAGGAGTCAGAGGGAAAAATAGCGCAACTGAAAGGAAGGGAAATGAGGAGACAGCAACTAAATTGAGGAAAGTCCAACTTTAAGTGGCCTCTGGAGCTAATGAGTAGGATATGCCCAAGCCATCCCTCTCTGAAGTCACATTATTAGCTGCTCCCCAAACATTTTCCAGCCTAACTTTTTAAATAATTAAGCAAATGAAAAAGAAACCTCCTTTCTTCAAGTATAAAAGCTCCTAGGGCTTTGGTCTTTATTACTAATAAATTTCCACCAGCCCCCATCCTCTGCCTTGACAGAGTGTGGGAGAAGCTGGCTGGTAACGAGATTTTTGCCACCCTGATGAGTGTGCTCATTAGGGAAGCCACTCGGTTTGAAGACCTGCCCCAGCCAATCTGATTGTAGATTTTATTGAAATAATTTTATAAACAAGTCTTCAGACAAGGTTTAGTCCTTATGAATCCTCCAAGCTCATTACTACCCTCAGGAAGAAAATTGAAGAGATAAAAATAAAAGTCTAGGATTAAAACAACACTTTCACCTTTAGGCAAAACAGTCTCCGGGGCCTTCAGATTTCTCCATCTGTAAAACAAGGATAATGATATTTCCTTCTCCAGCTCATCAGAAGAGCTAACATTAAATTCTGGAGAGCGTTCTTGGCAGTTGAGAAAGAAGGTAACTAATAAACCCGATTATTTTTAATAGCATAAGAACTTAACAATGACAAACAAATGTCTAGTCTCTCTTACGACAGGGTAAAAACAATGTGAAGGAGAGACATACATATGGTGTAATAAATCAGCCAAATATCTTGGAAATTCACCTGGCTTGAATTAAAAAGCTGTTCTCTTTCCAATATTTTCTTTGATATTAAGGGGTTTTAGTCCAATGACATTCACCATAAAGATAATTAAATGTATTTGTGGCTGCTACTGCAGAGTCAGAGTGACCTTAGAAAGACGTTTGCATAGGAAAGCGCTCTACAGCCGTCAGATATTCCCAGGTGGTGGGGAACATTTCAAAGCAGCCTGCCTCCCCCACCCCTCACCCAGTAGTCAGTCAAAAGGCAGAAGACTAAAATTCCTATTGACCACAAGCGTCTCAAGCTCAACTGGGAGGGTGTGCCTGAATTTTAAGATAATCCCACAAAGCCAAACTCAAGAGTGCACAGAAGCATCACATTTAGAAAGTGTGAAAGAGCTGGATGAAGCTCAAGAATGATCGACATATCCCTTTCTGAAGTAAGTGACAGCATCTTCTGGTCCTACCCGCTTTCTTATTTTTGCATCAAACATAAATAGTAAGTGAAGAAATGTAATTCAATAGCAGAGCTTCAGGTTCCTAGATGAGATGAAAGGGATCCTTAGCACCAAGGCACAAAGACATGAAAAAAGGCAGAGACGAAAGGAATGGTAAAAAGCAAACTTCAGTCGGAAAAATCTTGTGTATCCGAGTGGCTGTTTTGAGCTTCACAGAGTCGTCCTGAGCATACATTATACTGGGTTTAGCTGCTTCATGTAGTATCAGATATTTCATATAAATAATTAAAAAGCCACTGGCTGCTGGGGCCAGGTTTAAATGGATTGAAAGGGAGCGTGGGTCATCTGTTTTCAGGCTGGGAGACTTAACGAGAGGGTGGACAAGGCATTGAGAGATGACGATGCTCTCGTGAAGGATTTAAGGACAGCGTCCATCTCTAAGGCTGTATTTCCACCCCCACCTCCTCCAGGCTCACCTTTCTGGCTCAAGGTTTTTCATGTGCTCTTTTTATTCTTCTTTTTTGATTCACAGCTGCCATATGCACATGTTAAGAGGCTCAAACTTGGCCGGCGCAGTGGCTCATGCCTGTAATCCTAGCACTTTGGGAGGTCTAGGCGGGTGGATCACAAGGTCAGGAGTTCAAGACCAGCCTGGCCAAAATGGTGAAACCCCATCTCTACTGAAAATACAAAAAAATTAGCTGGGTGTAGTGGTGGGCACCTGCAATCCCAGCTACTTGGGAGGCTGAAGCAGAGAATTGCTTGAACTCGGGAGGCAGAGGTTGCAGTGAGCTGAGATCGTGCCACTGCACTCCAGCCTGGGCAGCAGAGCAAGACTACATCTCAAAAAAAAAAAAAAAAAAAAAAAAAAAGAGGCTCAAACTTGCCTTTTAAAAAGTGAAGTGCCTTGCCTTGTCCTACACCGTGGCCTCTCCTTGGACACAAACAGGCAGGGAGTGTTTAAGATAACAGCCTTGCAGAGTGCAAACGGCCCCCAAAGTGGAGCCAGAGGAACCTATGAGATCATTTGGAAAAGCTTGTGAATTCACTGCCATTTGCCTACTTGGCTTCGGATGAAAAGCAAATCTTAAAGCTGCTCAAAATGTGTCTGATTCATCTGTAACTGAGAATGAGACCAATCAGGGATAAGAAGTGAGTAAAATCCTTGTGATCACAGAGCCAAGAGAGCCTATTTTAAAGCACTTAATGTATTTTTTTTCTTAAAGATATATACACCAACTGTAATTAAGCTCTCCCTTTCCTTATGATCTTGGCAAGATGTTAAAAAAGAGATAGAGGGAGGGAGTCGACTTGCCAAGTGGATTTTTCTAAGCGTTCTCAGCCCTAATTAAAAGTCCTTTGTGCAAGGCCAACCAGCAATCAGATTCCTAATTAGAGTTGAGCAAACTGCCTTGGTGAACTGTGGGTTTCTCTGAACCCGGGAATCTGAGGAAAAAGTCTGTTTGTCTCAAAGGTGCCATTTTCTGAAGCACAAACACACCAAAATCCTGAAAGGCATGTCTCACAAGGGCAATGTCACAACCCTAATACTGTTCGTCGGTTACTGTTCTTGCCTTGAAATGGCTCCACGGCATCCTATATATTGCGTTGTTACCTCTGTTTTGCTTGTTGGTTACAGTATTATGATGGAATGGCATCTTTTTAAAAACCTGTCTTCAGGATCTGGAATTATGTGACTTGAGATTTAAGTGTATTAAATGTCAGGAATTCACGGTTTGTGTCCAGAACAAAGAAGACCATTCTGCCATTAACTGGATTTCCCCTGGAGTCTTGGGAATCATAATAATGTGTACACAAGTGCTTACCACATGCGAACACAGCTCTAAGAACTCTATAAATATGAATGCATTCACCTCTCATGAGGATGCCATGAGGCAGGCTCTATTATCTCCCCTGTTTCACAGGGAGGAAACTGAGGCAGAGAGAAGTTAAAGAGGTATCTCAAAGTCACATTAGAAAGTGACGAGCCAAGGTTGACCTGCAGTCAGTCACATTCCAGAGCCTCTGCTCTTACCTCCCAGCACTGGAGCCATGGCATTGGACCCCCAGCCCCCGGGCCTCATGTCCCAGGTCAGAGCATCCACACAGCAGTACAGCTGGGAGCGTGGCTCCATCTCCTATATACCTTGTGGGTTTCTTCCTGATTACTAGGTATGGTTTTCCAAGATCCACATTTCAAATTGAGACCTTCTGAAATGTAGGCCTTCAATAAAGAGATTATACTGAGATGTAAAAATAAAGAACATTGCTCTTCTTCATTCCCAGAACTGTGGTGAAAGCAACAACAATGGCATTCTTGTCTCACCCAGTGAGAGACAAAGCACCCCAAAGCCACAGCATCCAAGGGAGATGCCACAAAAAAGGATGCCCGCCCTTGATTTAGCTCATCTCATACATAACTCTCCATTTCTCGATTTTTCCAGAAATGTACACATCCTGAGACAGGGAGGAAGTGCTCACAATTAGACAATTTTCTTTTCTCCAGGGCTTTCATTTGGATCAGATTCATGAAGGAAAAATTCTTTCTGGGTTTTTTTTTTAAGACCATTATTTAATAGTCTTAATAGAAGATGGATTTTATCTGTAGATTTTTGCTTTCAATTAAAAATGTTAAAAGTAAATATTGTAGTGTCAAACCTTTTAAATGTTATAATATACAGAAGACTTACCCACACTGCAGAAGAAATACTTTTGTGTAGTCAGGACTTGGCAATTTACATGGTGTTATTTGGGGGTGGGGGTAACATGATAAGAGGATGGCGTCAGAACAGTGGAGGAGGAGGACGCCAGAGACACCAACAGACATGAGAAAAAAGAAAGAAAAATGAGACTAGAAAGAGAATGAGGGGAAGAACGAGGGGACCCAGAGATCCTTCCCAGAGACAAATGAAAATTCTATAGTTTTTATAAGAAAGAAAGAAAAACACCCCAAAGAGCCCTGTGGGAGTGTGGGAGGATGAGGGGCTATAGTGCTTGGTTTGTATTTCCATCGCGGCTGAGTGATGATGGACTGCTGCTGGAGGCCTGTGACCGGTTTCTCTGGGGTGCTCTGGCATTGCCACCACATCTGTTCTCACATTTCAGTGGGAGGGGTCAGCAAAGGGGGGAACCTCACAAGTCTGTTGTTCTGCACTTAATCACGTTGCGTTGTAATTCATACAACACAAGTAAAGCCTACCTCCCTCACTCGTCTATAAATCGGAGCACAAGGTTGGGCTCTATTCAAATTTACCTCTTTAGTGGTGGATATACAGTTGGTCCTCAATATTGTTTGCGGATGAATGGGGTTTACAGTATCCACCACACTGCCCTGTATGATGCCTTTGAAGTAGCAGGCACTTAATGAAAGTTCATTGAATGAATCGGGTCCCCATTCAACAGCAAGTCACATGCTCAAATTTTTAAGTTCTGAAAAAACAAGGCAGAGAGGGTAAGAAGTCCAGGATCTGAATAATAGATCCTTTAGGACCTCCCAGAGGAAAGAATTAGGGAAAATAAAATGTTTGAGAAAGATTAACAGATTTACTTCTGGAACGGTAAGAAACAAGAGAACGCCAGCATTTCAGGATGCATCCATCTGTGGTTACCATTCCAAGCTGACATTTCTCTCCTCTCTAAAAGTCACTGAGGCTTCTCAGGGTTTTAACATTATCTGAAAGCAATCCTGAGGAACTGGCCCGGATGCTGAAACCATACCTGAAGACAGGTAAACAGTTTCCATTCATGTGTGTGTTGCTTTGTGTAATTCATCTGACCCTCTGGCAATATGTAAAGATGTATATTCAGATGATCTAAGTTACAGAAAAATGTAGTTACCTGATTAAATTAAGAGGTAGTGTACATAGCCAGAGACTGGTGAGATTTTAAGATTAGTTTGTGCTGGTGTTTATTCTCCTTTTCCTGTTAAAACGTTCTTCAAAGAATCAGAAATACTCCATATTACTTTTCTCTTTCATCCCAGCTTGTCTTAAGTGCCAATGATATGTCAGGTATTTTGCTGGTTTTTACATTCCTTTATTCGCTGACAACTTGAGTTGGCTTTTCCTAGTTAGTACATAAGATGATTTAATCTTGCGTATGTTCATAAAACTTGGTTCTTTAACTGCCAAATATCTTTTGAAGTAGTATTGTCACGCTGTTCCTCCTTTAGGAGGAATACGGAGGTGCAGAGTAGGTCAGTTTTGTTCCTTGGATATTGGTGTGGGGTTGGGTGTAAATATTTTCCAACCAAGCCCTGCAATCCAGTGCAGTAGAGCTAAACGGACAGTGACCCATGTTCAGTGGCTGAATGTTTGCTGTTGACCTGGGATGTTAACTTTGCAAAACAAGGTATAAATGGAACTTTTCAAAAAATGTTTTTTGAGAGTATAGTGTTGAAACTGCCACTGGGGCAAAGAGCCTGGACAGATAGGATTGCAATGTGGAGTCCCTCTGGGCTTCGTTCATCTGCTTCTACTTGTCTGAGCTGGTAAAGGGCTGGGATCAAGCATGGATGGCTTTCCTAACGATAACCAAGATTTACTGAGGACTTGCGATGTCCATCCACTAATCAGTGCTAAGTGCTCAGCATGGATTATCTCCCTTACTCTTCAATAATAGTCTTATTGGCAAGGTTCTAGTATTATCCTCATTTTACTGATAAGGAAACGAAGCCTTGGAAATATTAAGAAATTTGCCTAAGGTCAAATACCAAATGAGTGCCTTTCTTCATTCTGTAATAGAGCTTCTTTTACGTTGTATACATTTAAGGAGTATAACATGATATTTTGATATACATATACATAGTAAAATCATATCTATGGTCAAGTTAATTTACATATCTCTCACCTGACATTGGTACCTTTTTAATGGTGAGAGCATTTAAAATCTAAACTTTTAGCAAATTTTTCATATTCAATGCAATATTACTAATTATAGTTCTCATGCTGTATATTAGATCTCTAGACTTATTCATCCTACAAAATGACAACTTTGCACCCTTTGGCCTACATTTTGGTCCACATTTCCCCAATTCCTCCTTCACCCCTCTATGCACCCAGTGACCTGTATTCACTCTGTTTGTATGTATTTCACTTTTTTTTAGATTCCACATGTAAGTAAGATCATGTAGTATTTTTTGTGTGTGTCTGGCTTACTTCACTTAGCATAATGTCCTCCAGGTTCATCCATGTTGTCACAAATGGTAGGATATCCTACACGTTAGGGCTGAATAATATTCCATTCTCTCTCCCTCTCTCTTTCTCTCTCTCTCTCTCTCTATATATATATATACACACACACACACGCACACACACATATATACAACATATATATATATATATGTATACACACAACCAGCTGATTTAAGAGCTCATTGCTTTAATAGGAACTCTCTCTTTCTCTCTCTCTCTCTCTATATATATACTTGTATATATTATATATTTGTATATGTATATATTTGTATATATATGTGTATATATTTCATATATATTTCATATATATAGAGTCCATATATAGAGAGAGTCCCTATTAAAGGAAATATATATATTTATATATAGAGTCCCTACATATATATATATGAATATATATGTGAATGGATAAATTAGAGATTGTGTTATATATATGTATAAGTTCCACTTATACCTATACATACATCTCGCTTTCTCTCTCTCTCACTTTCACATACATATATGAATATATATGTATATAGAGAGGTATATATATGTAGAGAGAGAGGCATATATATATATATAGCTTATGTATATGTATAATATCTCTCTCTCTCTCACAATTTCTTCTTTACCCATTCATT